GTGCAATTTTTCATCTCTCATCTGGCCAGCTGGCTCCGCACCCGCCGCTTTAGCGAGCCTACTTTTCGACCCTCCGGAGCCACAAATCATCGGAAAAACACAGTGTTTCGCGACTTTCCTACCTTTTCGCGCATCTGCATCTTCTTTCTTCTGACTCTTTCTCTTCTCTGATCTTCTCTCTTCTAATCTTTCTCTTCTCTCTGCCTCTGCCCTGCTGTCCATATTGTCGGAAGTTTGACTTCTAAAACTTCCTTCGATAATTTGTTTTTTCCTATGTTAAAGTCTTAATTAATGTTGAATCTTATACGGCCAATGCAACCTTTCTGTTGCTTTCCTGTTGGGGCGTACCATAATGTTTTCCTTGAACTTTGTAATTACAGTGAATGTTTAGCCATTGGGCTACACTATGATCGAGCAAAACTAGGATGCAATTGGATGTGATTACAGCACTTGAAACCACCAAATGGGCTGGTCAAACATGCGTTTGATCCAGCACAAGCAAAGGAACTTGCCACAATGGCAGTGGATCATACTGGTGCAAGCTCGAGTGAATAAATTTGTCAAAATCCACCGAAGATGCACAACATTGAACAGCTACTGCTGGATCAAACATCCAACTTTCTGCTTCTGAAAGCGGTATTGGGGCACCATTTCACTCGAGACAACACTCATGTTGCGTAGTGATTAACCACAAGAAAACTATGTTCTTTGAGGATGTTTTTAATACTTATACTGCGATAAACATGCCAATTATGATGGGTGAACTAGCTACGTACCATGATTGTGAACCAGAGCAAATTCCTGGGTCCTGTACATCTAGAATCATCTAGATTAACCCCAACATCATGACTACCGAGATGACTACAAAGTGGACCCCCGTGTTGTCTTTGTTTAGGTTCGCCCGTCCAACTGCATATTACATCATATCCAGTCAATTTACTTGGTTGTAACATGCTATAAACCAACTTACCTAAGTTAGATATCACTGAAATGAACTAGTTTGCCGATTTGCCCAAAGCCACTGACACGTCGACACGTCGTCCCAGGGTCCAGCTCATCTAGCTCCACTTCGATCAAATGTGGCCTCTCCTGGCATTTTGGTTTCCCCATGAATGCTGACAGGGGGGGTCAATGACTATAAGTCACTAAAAAGAAGATCGTGTCACGTTTTTAATCGTTTAACATGCTTTTTTAAAATCATGACATGGGGATGTAAAGCCAATTATGGTATCAAATACCCCACGGGACTCCAAGTCATGAACAATTCCTATATAATCCTTTATAATCCTATACTCAAACAGGATTTTAACGGGAGTATTTAATACTGTACTCAGGGGAACGGATCATCAAAACCATTCTCAATTGGAGGTTTATGATTGGGTTTACCACACTGAATAAATGAATGCACGCATTTCATCAACTCTCAGATTCCAAATCAATATGAATCTAAATGAGAACCTGCATGATTGTTGCATATGGCATATGTATATTTCTTATTTAGTTGTTAAACCTCCATGTCCTCAAGAACAAGATCAAAAAATAGTGTGCATTCATGTGCACTCATTCCGCTGGGTCTTGAAGACCACAACTGTGGATGGTCGGAAATCCAGCACCAGTTGAAAACGGTGGTAAACATCCCATTATTTAAAGGGTTTTAACCATCCTTTTGGTGGTGCAGTGGGTGTTTTGCACCCGCCTCCCCTAGCATTAAACACCCCATGAATGGGGATTCATCCCCTACTAAAAAATAGAAGTCAATCAATATCCCAAATAGAGTTGGAACTGGAATCCAAAATGAGATGTCAACTGGATGAGCTGTACTCCGTACATCAGGTGAGCTGTACTCCATACATCAGGTGAGCTGTACTCCATACATCATCATCCATATGTCTTTTTGTGTCAAAACTTGGTATATCAGATATGGTCATCCAATAATTGGAATCTTTAGGTCTGCCAGGTATATAAATACAAAAATATTATAAATCACTACGAGCAAATCCCTACAAGCTGTCTGATAGTGGGTTGATGATCATTCCGGATGATCATCCATGATTTGACCATGGCCTCGATGTCGTGCCACGCGGGCGGTTTCTCTTGACCTCGTCAAGAATAAAGTCCGCAGGGTCTGGACTGGGATAATCCAGTAGTCAGGATTGAGATAGATCCAGCCAAGACTCGAGATTTAGATGTGATATATTGATTTATGATAAGTTGGCAAACACTGCAAACACAACTAGGTTTACAACATGGTTTAAGGGAGACATATCGAACTAGTTAGATGGGTTAATATAAAACAACTTATAAGTGGCCTCTGCACGAGGTGGAGTTGACATTTAATCAATTGCCACTTACTTAGCTTAGTTGGTGAATAAGTAGTGGTTTGCGGTAGATATATCTAAAGTTTTCATGCGCTGAACACAGACCAACCTTTAACTGGGGGGCACGACCTTGTCAATATTTGGTAATGATCAGTACTCTTTGGGTCGCATTTACCCAGTAT